CGAACACTCGTCCAGTCAAATAAAACTGATGCGCGATCGATTGAGCCTGATTGAATAAATCCGAACCTCGTTGGTTCTTACAGGATTCACTTGTTGCAAGCATTACCGGACCTTATCAACCTCGCCGAACTCGATTAGACTATGCCCATGCCCATGTACCTCTTTTGCACATCATGCAACTTCATGAGCAATTTTTATCACAACTCTGGTAACCATTATAAAACCATATCATCGATACAGAACTTCATTTCAATACGCACATGATCACATGTTTTCTTACCAATTTCTCATCCTGCCGACCCTAATGCAACTCACATAACAAATTTGCGTTTCTGTCTTCAATTCCACCAGCTTCTCAACCTTATCAGACAATCCAACGTGAACGGACGCTCGTGAACTCTTATCATAGCCAATCCGCGCACGATCAAACCACTTCGGATGCATGAAGTCTTGGAGTACTTGTCGCAACCGTTAACTGAACTTATCAACGTCACCAAGCACAATCTGACGACGCACTTGTCCATGTGTGCATTTTTAGAACCCCGTCTACACCCTAGAAGCACTTTTAACACTCGGCGCAGCCACTTTAGGGGCTTCTCAAGCTTATAGATGTCGATTCAACCATACAAGTGTCTTTTAAGCACCTTATGCAAGCTTATCTCCCTTCATCGCCACTGTGGCAACCGTTATCAAACGATATTATCGTTACTGAACTAGTTCCAACCACACGCATGCCCATGCGTGTCCTAAGAAAAAAATTATCTGCTTCACTCCGCTATCGATCCTAATAAAACTGATAGATTTAACATTTATTTTGTAATCTAACTGCGCGTAAGCATAACTAAACAAAATCGAACGTGATCGGCCACTCGCAGAATCTCACAAGATTCGATTCAATCCTGATCGAACCTTGTTGGAACATTTTTGTTAATTATCAAACTCACCGCTACTGTTGTCGGACCTAATCGACTTCCCCAAGCTCACTCCGGTCGCACATGTGTTCGCAAGTCTTTTAGGGTATCATTAGAACCTTTCATGAACTTACTCAGACTCATCACAACAGTTATCGGACCTTATCAACTTCAGCGAGTTCAACCCGGCCGCAAAATGTCCACATGCCTCTTTAGCATTTTATTTAAGCTATATTGGACCTTATCAGACTTGTCAATCGCTACTGTTATTAGATCTCATCAAACTCAGCGAACTCAATCCGGCCACACACATGTCCGCATATCCCTTCAGCATGTCTTCTGAACATATCGGTCCCAATCGGACTCATCGATTGCAGCTGTTATCGAATCTGATCAACCTCACCGAACCCAATCCAGCCACACCCCCGTTCATAATTCTTTTTAGAATCATATCCGAACATATTTGACCTTATCGGACCTTAACAACTTCAGCGAACTATGTCTGGCCGCACACATGTCTGTAGGTCTCTTTAGCCAGCTATCAACATTTTCGGCTCCTATCGAACTCATCGATCGCAACTGTTATCGAACCTTATCGACCTCATCGAACCCAATCTGACCGCAACCATGTTTGTAAGTCTCTAAAGATCGCATCAGAATATATCTGACTTTATCGGACTCATTGCAACTGTTGTCGGACTTTATCAGCTTCCCTGAAATCAACACGGCCACACACATGGTCGTACGTATCTTGGAGTCTCAATCGAACATTATCTGACCTTATTAGACTCGTCGCAACTGTTATCGAACCTTATCAACTTCAGCGAACTTAGTCGGGCCACAAACATATCCAAATGTCTTTTTAGTATTTCATCCAAGCATTATCGGTTCTTATCGGGTTTGTCGATCGCAACTGTTATCGGACCTTATCGACCACATCGAACTAAATTCCGCCGCACACATGTTCATGTGTCTTGGATCGGGCATTATCGTATTCATTAATCGCACCTCTTATCGGACCTTATCAACTTCAACTCAATCCAGCCGCACACATGTCAATATGTCACTTCAGCATGTAATCTGTAGATTATCAGACCTTATCGGACTCATCGATTGCCACTGAGCTTCATCGATTTACCAAGTCCCGGATCACTCGCGAACGGCCCGCGGACGTCTCGGCTCACGGGTGGCTACGTCACATGTACGTGATCTAAAAGTCCCGAGCCAGCCCGAGCGGCCTCGGGCCATCTGCGCGCTTGATGCTGACCGAGTCTGCTGTGGCGTCTGCTATGCCTGTCTATGCCGTCTGCTGCCTCCATAGCTGAAACACAGGCCACAACGCTGACTCATTTGCAACCTAAACAGCAGTTAGGTAGTGAATTATACCCATTTCTGTTGTGATGCAACTTACTGTAAGTGAACTACTCGAGCGCGTGCGCATCGTAGACCGGCGTGGTTGTTCCACCGCTGTTTCTCCTAGCGAGCATAACGCGTGTTTGCCCGACCTTCGAGAATACGCTCATGCTCGACGTGGCTCAGAACGCCGATGACGAAAGGTGGGTGCGCTAACAATGCGAAATCCAGAAACATGCGAGAAGCGGACAGAAAAGCAAAGAAAGAGCAAGAGCGCATCGAAAATTTCCCGTGTCTAACTCAATATGGCCGAACAGCATGCGCACCGCGCTGTCGTCTGCCAGCTGCCCAAAAGAAATCGTTCGGGCGGTCCCGGGCCGCCCGCAGGCCGCCAGGCACGCGAAAAACGAACATGCGTCCGAGCGATCCAGGACCAGTGGGCGGAGCTTCCAGTTGGTCCCCGACAAAAACGAATGCGGCGCCGGCGTCCGGGGCCGTCCGGGACGTGTAAATCGATGAAGCTCACTGTTATCGGAGCTAATCAACCTGAACGAGCTCAATCCGGCCACACACATACCCATAGGCCTCTTTAGCAAGTCATCAAAACATCATTGGTCCTTATCCGACTCATCGATCGCAACTGTTATCGAACCTTATCGACCTCACCAAACTCAATCCGGCCGCACCCACGTTTCCGAACAAATCTGACTTGATCGAACTCGTTGCAACTGTTATCGGACTTTACCGAACCCAATCCAGCCGCACCCACGTTCGTAATTCTTTTAGGACCGTATCCGAGCATATTTGACCTTATCGGACTCATGGCAACTGTTATCGGACCTCATCAACTTCAGCGAACTATGTCTGGCCGCACACATGTCTGTAGGTCTCTTTAATCAGCCATCAACATTTTCGGCTCCTATCAGACTCATCGATCGCAACTGCTATCGAACCTTATCGACCTCATCGAACCCAATCCGGCCGCATCCACGTTCGTAAGTCTCTTAGGATCGCACGGGAACATGTCTGACTTTATCGGACTCGTTGCAACTCTTATCGAACTTTATCAGCTTCAGCGAATTCAAAACGGCCGCACACATGGTCGCACGTCTCTTAGGTTCTCAGACGAATATTATCTGACCTTATCGGACTTATCGCAACTGTTATCGTACCTTATCAACTTTAGCGAATCAGTCGGGCCACACATATATCCAAATGTATCTTGATTATTTTATCAAAGCATTATCAGTCCTTATCGGGCTTGTCGATCGCTAGTGCTATCAGACCTTATAAACCACATCGAACTGAATCCCACCATACACATGTTCATATGTCTCTTTGGATTGGACATTATCGGATTCATTAATCGCCACTGTTATCAGACTTTATCAACTTCAGCGAACTCAATCCGGCCGCACACATGTCACTATGTCACTTCAGTATGTAATCCGTAGATTATCGAACCTTATCGGACTCATCAATTGCCACTGTCATCGGAGCTTATCAACCTTAGCGTGCTCAATCCGGCCGCACACATGCCCATAGGTCTCTTTCGCAAGTCATCAAAACATCATCGGTCCTTATCGTATTCGTTGCAACCGTTACTGGATCTTATCAACATCGCCGAAGTCGATCTGATCAGAATACTCTCGAGCACGTCATCCAAGCCTTATACGTCCATTTTCTGTGCAGGCCTTAACACACGTGTTAAAACCGTCATCGGACCTTATCTACCTTGCAGGCCAGGCCTTAATCCTTCTAACACTATTCACAGAAACTTCCATCAACTTTTGCCCACTATTGACGCCAATGGTACCCATATAGCATGTTTACATCCAATTGTTCATGTGATTTCTCACACCGACTCCATCGGCGGTGGGTCACGATCGGGCTACGGCACAACGCAATTGTTTTGCTGAATTCGAACATGTGATTGAGTGATTGAACTGCATTTGGTCTTATAATAACAGAACGAGCACGATTCTACATTCGTCAAAGGAGATCAGATCTGGTCCGAACCCGATCGAGGCACATCGATACACTCGAACTATATACACCTTAATCCGAGCCGTTATCCGGCATAATAAACATTACAGAACTCTATCCCACTACAATCAAGAGCGTATGTCCCTTTAGCACCTTGTCTACCCTTAGATACCCTATCAACCACAATCAGACCCATATAAGCGCTTATCCGCACTAATCATCATAGCCTCCAATTTCCAGCCCCGGCTCACTTGTCCTGGGTTCGAGTCTCCTTATGCCCCCGTGCACCATACCATGAGCACGTCAAGCCTTGGGGCTGAGTCCTTTAAATAATCCGATGTCGAGGGTTTAATGCCCTGGACACCTCGGAGGTTCGGAGTTCCAGTCCCCATGTAGTTCTGGGCTCGATGGTTCTATATTCTGCCTATCTCGAACGTTCGGGTACGGTGTGTTTCGAGGTGGCGGAGGGAATCGCATACGCACGACACTAAGAAAGGTGACTGTTTGTCCTTGACGCGGCAGATGTCAAGGTTTCGGTTTTCTATATGCTGAGAGGGTCGAGCATTCAAGCCCCGGTACACTTTACACATGGGTTCGAATAATTATTCGCTGTATAAGCTATACAAGTCTCCCGTACCCGGATGCAATTATATGAGACGAGGTTTACGATATAGAGCTGCGCACTGATTTTCGTAGAAGCAATATATGAACGGCCACGCTTTTCAAAGCGTACATATTCTCGAGACTCACCAAAATCGTCGCTTTCTGCCGGTAGCGCCGCAAAACAACCGTGTCAGTTGGAGCCCAAAGCATGGCGTGCGCTGCATGCTGGTATCCCGTGGCCAGGGCCTCGGACAGGGTGCACGCCTCGAAGCCCTTCTGGTTCAGGCCCAAGCTCTGCACGATGCTCATGTCGAGCGGGTACTTCTCAGGCTCAACTCTGGCCATGGATTCCCCCAGCAACGCCGGAGAGCAGTCAAAAGCTGCTGCACAACTTGTACTCGCTGGCAGTGGCGAGTGACAACCGTTGATTCAACGTCTTCTGGGCTCAATGAAAATCAAGGTTTTTTCTGCTTCTCAGCCAGTATGACCAGTGCTGCACTGCAGGCAAAACAACATAAAGCGCCATCAGCACAAAATACGCCACGCGCTGCTTCGAAAGGAGCCTGTCAAAACTACGAATGAATCAGCGGTCGCCAGCGTATTTCTTAGACATGCTTCAGCTTGACGCCGTGAGTTAAAGCGGCGCTGCCGTCGGTAGAGCGCGAATCGTTTGCTGCTCTAGGCACTCACTAGTTCAGTGTCAGTACAGGGCCTAGAATATACTTACTAAGTATATTCTATAGTGCCTAGAATATACTTACTAAGTATATTCTAGGCACTATAGTGTCGGTGTCAGTTTCAGTTTATTGCCTCCAGAAAAAGTTACAGTATCAACAAATGTACAGCCGAGGGTCCGAAAGTACGAAAACTGCAGTGGGACTCTCGATTGATTATATAGATATACAAGGGAATAACTAATACAGCAAGTGAACGGAATATTTGGCAAAATGAAAAGATATATTACATAAAACGCTTACAATCACATCAGTAGAGCATGAGAAAGTGCGGCAAGAAGAAAAAAGAAACGTAGAATAAAAAAAAAAACAGATGGTTTCTCAAGAGTTTAGACATGAAATGAATACACTTAGTGCAGGTAGTGATACTTGAGACAATTTTTAAAAACTGCAAGACTACGCAAGGCTAAAGATTGGCATGGCCCCAAGAATATGTAAGGCAAATTTTTACACATATCCAATGCCCCGAAACACCATAAATCTCGTTCAGTTTTTGACCTACATAGATGGTATATGGTGCCACTTTGTTCAGCAGTGACGCGCTTTTGGTGCGATCAGCTTCCATCTAGCAAACAGGAACACTCACTGCAATGCGGCAGTTTTCACAGCAACGACAAACTTAATTGGGTCCCTCGTAACTCTGTGAATTTACTACCAAACAACAATATTGTCATTTTCATGAGTGGCATTTACCTTTAAATTAAGAGAAGAAGGCGACAGTCACCATCCAGACTGGGTTCAAACGGCAACTAGTGAAATAGACGAATCGAATGACTCGACTGCTACTCTGAGATGACAACAAGAGTGTATTGCAATTCCGGGAAAAGAGAGAGAAAATAATTTATTCACAGGATCCTGCGTGGGGTAGGTGGTGCTGGCCTCGCAAGGCGCGGTCTACCCATTACCTACTCAGCAGTTACAGGCTCTACAAAAAAACCCAGCAGGTATGTGCCAGAAAAATTTGGTAAACTACTCACTACTCCCCACCGCTACTCAATACCGATCAACTAAAAATAAATAAACGAAGAAATATGAAACACATGAATATACGTAGCAAAAATCAATAACTTGCCGCACTAAATTAAGCATACGCTGAATTCCACAACAATAAATATTATTTATATATAAATTAACATTGAAGTAACTGAACTGTTTGCTACACAGCTTCGTTGGTCATGCGCCTTAATTGAGGGGAATAAAACGCTTAATCAATTTGAATTCGAATACATAAGACCGAGAAAATTCGCTGCTTCATTTTTTTCTTGTGTAGCGCAGTAATCAATTATATATTTCGGATAGCATCCTTTCCTTTCATAGGCTTTCATTTAACATTTACCTCTCTCCACATATTAACCCATATATGCCCAGTTTCCTACATGTAGGGCGCTGAAACTTTTCCGTGCAACCCGATTGTTATTTCTGTAAAACAGGTAGCCCCTTTTGTTATGATGTGTTATGATGAGGTGTGTTTATGATGCCCTGTCCTCGTCCCGTGCAAATCTAGGTGATCGCTGGGCTACAAATAGCCACGCGCTCGCCGTCACAAGCGCCTAAACGCAATATATATATATATATATATATATATATATATATATATATATATATATATATATATATATATATATATGAAGTTATGGGATATGACACAACGGGAGTGTTGTGCACAGGAATAAATATATTTATTTCCCTAAAGTTTCGGCAGTTTCGGGAGGCGTCCTCCTTTCGTCAGGGTATGAGTTATACTAACTTAGACGTTCAAACTTCGTAGCTGCCACGCCCCTCTCGCCTTGAAAGATGTTTGCGAGAGTGAGAGAAAACAAAAAAAAACACTGTGAACGCTGAGCATGAAACCAGCCTATGCACATCCAAATGTCGGTGCAATTCCACATACGGTTCTTATCCCGTGCCGGCCAGTTCTCGACGTGTGTAGGGCCACCCGAGATTGTCGCCGCAGTGGCGGTAGGGGTCCGCGACGGCGTGCGTAAGGAAAGGGTTTCCCCTTAATGGGTCGGGCAGCTCTTTACCTTTGATCTTGGCCCGTTCCCCCTCAATGGCCGTCAAGTGGTAGGCGAGCGTAAACACTTTGTATGTACACGTGAGAAAAAAAGAAAAAAAGAAAAAAAAGAAAAGAAAGGGAATTGTACACGTACGAGTCAGTCAGAAAAAACAAGCATGGCATCCAGCTATGAATCTTTGTCACCAATTTCCTCCTGGCTTACTTCTCGGAGGCAGGAGAGTTTACCGGGGTCCTCGTTGATGCCGGCTACTAATGTTCGAAATTTGAAAAAAAAAAATATGCCTCACGCTGTTCGCGCTCGCGTCTGTTTGAGAAACCGGACTGCAAAAGAGTTACGCTGATATTTTCAAAACTGTGGTTTGGCAGGCGCAGATGTCTAGATAAAGGTAGCTTCGGCAGTGAAGTGGCGTAGTACCGGTTATTATTGAACCGCAGCCGAAATGGCGTGTCTGTTTGGCCGATATATTCTTGTCCGCAGATGTTGCAATGTAGAATGTATATTACGTTACTGGAGTCACAATTAAGGCTTTCAGTTATGCAAAATTTGAAATACCAGAAGTTCACTTTTGATTCGCGTGTTGTGACCATCTGTAAGCATACCTTGCATCGAGCTTTTCCGCAGGGATGGCACCCTGATTGAAATTTGTGGGTGTTTGTTTTTGCTCTGACAAAAATGTCCTTCAGGTTTTTATTCCTGCGGTACACCACGTGAGGTGGCTCCGCGAAAATTGAAGTTAGTCATTTGCTTTGCCTGATTATGTTGAAATGGCGGGAAAGTATATTGTTGATTCGTGGCGCTGATGAGGAGTACGTTAGTACAAGGTTCGTTTGGGAAGTCGTTTTAGATACTCTGTTTGGTCCCTTAATTATATCATTCCCGTTCACGTTGCGAGCATGTAGTATGGCATCGTCAATAATGTCTTATGGATAATTTTGTTTCGATAAGGAATTCTTTAGGTGTTCTGCGTGTCTGTCAAATTCCTGCATATCGGTGCATATTCTTCGGTACCGGTAAGCCTGAGAATATGGAATACCCGTTTTACAATGCTTTGGATGGCTGCTGTTGAAATGTAGGTACATTTGACGGTCTATAGGCTTTTTGTAAAGGTTTGTTGACAAGCGGTCATTTTGGCCGTGACAGTGATTGATTGATATGTGGGGTTTAACGTCCCAAAACCACCATTTGATTATGAGAGACGCCGTAGTGGAGGACTCCGGAAATTTTGACCACCTGGGGTTCTTTAACGTGCACCCAAATCTGAGCACACGGGCCTACAACATTTCCGCCTCCATCGGAAATGCAGCCGCCGCAGCCGGGATACGAACCTGCGACCTGCGGGGCCGTGACAGTGAAGTCCAAGAAGTAGTAGTGGTTACTTACACCCACGGCGGCGAACCACTATACGGCGCCAAAAAGTGGACCTTGTTCCGATCTTATAACTGTCGCTGTAAAAGAAGCTGCTCAGTGCCGGATCACCTGTGGGTGCAGTGGTCCCAGCAAGCAAGCTGCGGTCGTGCTCTAGCTCCCAGTGCTTAGGCTGCCAGCATGCCAATTCCTCCTCCGTGAAAATTGTAGAGGATTCGTCGACCTGAGGCGTGGGTCGGGAGCTGGTTGTGATGGAAGCAGGGGTCTTTGTTGTCCTCGGGCTCTCGCTGGTGACTACCGCAGTGATAGTCACCGGTTTTGAAGGCGGCTTTGTTGGCTGGCCTCTTCTTCTTGACCTTCTTCGTCACCGCGTCAAAGCGAGGACGCTCACTGAGTGAAAAAAAATGAAAAATCCGCTGAGCTAATTAATAAGAGCGCACAAAAACATGACTGCTTCGCTCGGTGGTCCCAAGTGCTCTCCCCTCATCGCACTGTGCTTGTTGTGTCGTGTATGGTGTGTTCATTGCTCACCGTGCGAAGATCTGGGCGTGCCTGTTTCCTTGTTCCTGGGTTGGCAAAAAGTCTGTGTTTGACATTATTACTTCGGGGGCGGAAATAAAGGCGGCAATTTTATTGGACTGTCCTGGCCTCAATTGTTTTCCCTGCATAGAACCTTGGGAAGACCAGAGCAGATTGCGTGAGCACCGAGGCGCTGGAGGATGCTTCCTTCGTTCGTGTAACATGCTACCTTCAACATCATGTAAATCGTGTAAATAAACGTTCCAGTTTGCGACTCCAGCTATTCAGTTAGTCTTAGCACTGAGGCTTCGTTGGCTCAACACCCTCAAGAGGAAGCTATATAACAGCTGTATATTACCGGTCCTTACCTACGGAGCAGAAGCCTGGAGGATTACAAACAAGGTTCTACATAGGTTGGGGATGACGCAGTGAGCAAGTGTAAGGAAAATGATAGGTGTAACCCTAAGGAACAACAAGAGAGCAGAGTGTATTAGGGAAAAATGGCTGTTAAGGACATCATATTCGAAATGAAGAAGAAATGGTGCTGGACAGGGAACGTAGTGCAAAGGAAAGATAACCACTGGTTATTGAGGGTCAGTGACTGGATTACAGAAAAAAAAGGCAAGCGGTTGAGGAAAAGACAGAAAGTTAGATTGGCAGAAAAAGATTAGAAAGTTTGAGGGTATAAAATGGGAGCAGCAAGCACATCACTGAATAGACTGGTGGAACATGGGAGCGGCCTTTGTCCTGCAGTGGGCGTAGTCAGGCTGATAATTATGACGACTGACACTTCCAGACTTATAGGCCGTACAGCGCTTGAAACGAGCTGCGAAATGTGTACTGGGCCAACGACGTCTCCCGCGTGCACATGCACGCGTCCCTCGCCCCTCGCTCGCATATTGCTCGCATAGTTTGCGCGCATGTGGCCTTGGGAGGGAAAGTGTCTA